TGTGTGTGTGTGTGTGTGTGTATGAGTTTGTCCCTTTTGCACTCTCTCTCTCTCTCTCTCTCTCTCTCTCTCTCTCTCTCTCTTTCACTCTCTCACGCACGCACAAACACACACTCATACAGAAACATAATCTCCTTGTCTGTCTCTCTCTCTTTCTCTCTGGTCTATTTGGTCTTTTACATTCCTCTTCGAAAGCAACCTATAAATTGCATCGTGGGTATCGTGAGTGAGTATTGAATCCAACCAAACTCTCTGATCCAACCATCACATTTTTTTGTCGCCTCAATTTAGAGGAGTAACTTTATGGAGTGTTCAAACTGGCAAGCTAACTTTGCTGCTTTTTAACCTATAAACGCGCAGCGTTCGATCTCTCCCTGGCCATCGATATCGGTTTCCTGAAAGAGAAGAGTTCTGGAACCGTGTTTATGTCTGCTAGATCTGGCAGATCTATACACTGACATTTTCGTTTCTTTGGAAACGAATAGAATTCGAGTTGTTCTTCATATTTACCAGAAACGGTAAGTCGCTATAGCTTAGACTTGGTAATTAGATCTAGATTTATTCTTTTACAAATTAGGTCTAGGGCCTAGATCTAGGACGCTATGTTGACGAGTACAGAGCCAAGGCCAAGCCCCTCTTTTTGATCTTGGCCCTTCCCCAATGCCGCGGCGGCTTGACCAAAACATCCCTCGTGTTGATATGATTTTACTAGGCTACGATGGGCTGTTTTTCACAGCGTAGACTAGATTCTAGATCTAGATATATCTAGATCTAGATCTAGAATCTAGATCTAGATTCAAATCTCAGGGCCTGGGTTTGGGTGTCGAATATGGTTAGCCTTTTCTGTAAATTCTTAACTCCGAGTCCGAGGAGTAGCGCTGTGGCTGAGGGACAAAAAGTAGACATATCTAGATCTAGATTCTATATATCTAGAATCTAGATCTAGATATAGACTCTAGATCTAGATCTAGATCTAGAATCTAGATCTAGATATTAGTTGGAGAGGAGAACATAGATCTAGATTCAGAAATTTTTCAGAAATTCTGTAGGCCCTTCTAGATGTCTAGATGTAGCTAGAATCTAGATTCTAGGCCTACTAGATTCTAGAATCTAGATCTAGATCTAGATCTAGATTCTAGATTCTACATCAGGCCTGCTCCTTGCAGTTTTCAACCATTCAGTAATTTTATACTGACTTGCCCCCTTCCCCCTACCCTCCCCGATTCTTCCCCCCCCCCTCCGATCCTCCACACCCCCTCCACCCTCAACCCTTCTCCACCTCACTGAACCTCAGTCTCCCACCCCACCACCCTTGTCTTAAAGATTCATTTTCGAACCTCTTTTAAATATTACCTGCCAAGTGTAGACCATCTCTGATACACAAGCCCTCTATGTTTGTTTTTTTCTGGCCGATCGAAGAACCACAATTGAATTTGCATGAAATGTAATTTTTCTCTTGAATTCCGTTTCCATCGATTGTAGGCAACTTATGGTAAATGAGTTAGTTTCATGCCCCAGAGTATTCATCTTACTAACTAGACCCAACAACGTACTTTTAAAAGCCTTAACAGATTGGTAACGGTGAAAGATCAGGATAATGTAGCACTTTTTCGAGAGCATCTCAGCGAAGGAACGAATGAATAGAATCATGGTTGTGGATGTCTGTTGCAGTTGCAGATGTGGCACTTGATAAGAAACAAAGTTAGACAATTAAATCAAAATTTTACGTATGAATTAAATGTCCTCTCTACTATATCAACTTTCGTGTTGGGGTCAAAATCGCTAAAAAAATTTGCGGGTGATTTTGACATTTGATTTTTAATCCACCTCTCCTAGGATCAGCTGTTTATCCTTGACCAAGCAGCCTTTTGGGTTTTTTTTTTTCGCTTTGCAATCTCCACTCTATACTACACCTTCACCTGGACTTAATTTTGCTGCCAAGTTGTTGCGAAGTGTCTGTTTGTAATCTCTGTTATAAAGGAAGCACGCTGACACAGTATATATATATGTGCCTTCACTCTCAGACTTCCAACATGTAACTAGAGTAAGCTGAATTTCTGTGACGTATACCATAAAATACACTGTTGCACTCGGCTTTTAATTTATAAGAGAGGTTGTGGCCTGCCGAAGAAATATGAAGAAGTCCTTCAAAGGCACTTTCAGGGTGTTTTTGTAGTACTTTTTTTGGAGGGTTAATTGTACACTTCCCTAGTTCAGAACAGAATACTGCCTTCTTTGGGATTCTGAAATCAGATATGTTATGATATGGCCAGCCCAGAGATGTTGACGGTTCTTTTGAGCTTGGAAAACAGACTCTTGGCATTTGCCCATTTAAGAACTTGTATCAGGTAATTTATCCTGCCATTTGATGTCAAGAGTTTTCCTGAGGTATTTCATGTGGAAATTATAATAAAGCCTCTTGACATAGTGTTGGTTCACGATTCAGGTCTCGGCACTGTACAACTTTGCTCAGCCCGCCTTGAAATAACCTGAAATTTGTGCGTTTACAGAGAAATTCGTACATGTATGATGAAAAGATTTCAGTGTCCAGCCAATTTTGCAATGTGCATGCAAAAATATATGCCTCTGGCCAGCTGCTGAAGCCAGCCCTGTTTTTTTTGTCTCGTCCATATTGTTGACAATTTCAGTATTATAGTAATATAGTAATGGGGACGTGTGGCCATTTATCATGTAGATTCTAGTTTTATTAAATGATAAAATGTATTGACGATTACATACATTCAAACTGAAACATTTCATTTTTATAATTTGTCATGATTTCCTTTTGTGAGAATGGGACTTTCTCCTGTTACTACTGCAAGCAATCAATAATTATTATTTATTTATATGCTTTGACATTTTTATTTGTGACTTGTCAGCTTTTTATGAGAGGTTTGATGAAGTCAGGCTTTATTGAAAATAAAGACCGAAATATAGGCCGACAGAAAATTGACTTTATGGAAATAATTTGGCTGTTGCCAGAATTGAAAAGCTTCAGAACATAAGCTTCATAATAGTCTTTTTGTGGCTGAGTGAATTTTTTCTTTCGTTTATGTACCCTTTGCACATGACTATTGCCCTTGATATATATCTAATAAATGTACACACCGATTTATCTACCAATGTGAATTGTGTATCGGTTAGGTGCTTTGCTGTTGCATGAAGGAGACCCGAGTTCGATTCCTGAGTGGAGAGGAAAATTTTTATCGATTATCTTGGTCTTTCAGTTGGGATGTTGTATCCTTCTCAGCTCAGGTTGGCCCTGACTAACAAGCAGGGTCAGAAGCCCACCTCCTAAATGGTTTAAATTGTGTCGATGGGGACCTAAAAAACGCCTACTTTAAAAAAAAGGTATACCGATATCTTGTTTTTGTTTGTAATTCCACAGCTTTTCTAGTCACAGGTGATTCCTTTTGACGAGCTGGGGATTTTTTGTTTTGTTTTTATGATCATGTAGTTTTAATTGAGTTGAGACAGCACTTCAGTGGCGTAGTTAGTCTAGCGGTTAGGCTACCAGACTCGAGTAGTCGCGAGGTTGCGGTTTGGGGGGTTCTAGCCTCAGCTCGGTCCGACGTTGTGTCCTTTGGAAAGACTCTCTTAACGCATGATTTTCCCCTTTGGCTCGGTCCTTTCGGAGATGGACTTTAAATTCGGAGGTCTCGCCTCTTAAATAACGTAAGAGTGTTGAGAGAGGCATTAAACCCATACATTTCACATTTTTTTCACAGGGAGCGCTTCATTTAGTTTTGTAAAACTGTATTAAAGGCCTTTTGGGTGGTTGGAAGACTCCACTTGTAGGTCCTACTTCTTTCCTTTCCTTCTGTTGTTTTTGTCTATCTGTCTTGCTTCTTCCTTGCCCAACAGTACAATGGCCATGTTTGTGTTGATGTGCTCCTTCTTACTCAAATTCACTCTCAGAACTGAAGGCATTTTCTCCTGTGTTCAGTAGGTCGTTTGGAAATGCAGTAACAGCACTTGCTCTGTGACTCGTTGAGAGTTCATTTCGCTCAAAGGAAAGCCACATGGACATTTTTTGATGGAACTGAGAGGACAAAGACCATGGTTGTCATAGTACGACGGTCGCCGTGTGACCACAGTACAGTCCACTCCACTTGTGTTGAATTCGCTTGAGTTGATCTCAGTTATCTTGATATTTTTCTCTGGTCCCAGCACGTTTTCGTCTTAACAGTAGTTCCCTACGGAGCTGATCTTTTTTTCACACGATGACATTAACTCACCCGTTGTCTACTGCAGTAGGCGACTTTTGCTCAGTGACTGCATTATTACTTTCGTTGTTGTGTACGCAACGGCGAGTCACTCAACTCATCGGACATTCTGTAGTTGGTAATACTGTAAAACTCTCTGGTAAATGTACCATCATGGAAGTATCTATTGGAAGTCCCTGCAGCCTTTTGGGAACCGTGGAGTGTCAGAAGTGCGATGTATGTGTCAGGAGAAATTATCTACCCCCCTTTGGCACTTCCTGGCGCTGTCATCCGGTGGTTGGTAGTTCGTGTTTCCTGAGATCATAATTATATCCGGGTCTCTGTTCCTCTTCGAAGCGGGTAGGCCTGTTTGTAGTAATGTGGTTGTTGGACTGTCCGATGTGATCTGATCTTTCTCCATCTTTTATTTGCATTGTTTGTTTGAATGCTCCTCGGCTGGTGTCCGGTGCTCGTGGTGTAATGATCGGGCTTTTTGCCACCCTGATAGAAGAGCAACAGCAACAACAATTACACACATACACACAACCCC